ATCAAAAAAAAGGAGTAAACACCCCATATGCCACAAATTTCTGGTCTGGGAGCACACGCGAAGAAAATAAAACAAGTGCGCAGTTAGCGACATCTCTTCTGATGCTTGCAAACACGATGAATCACGTTTCCTTCTCGATTCGAAAACATCCCAGAAAGCAAGAAAACCACCACAATCACACACGTATAACCGTCCGGAAGGCAGAGTGGCAGCGACAATCAGCCAAATGCAGCCGAAAACGATCAAAGCGAACGCACGCACAAAACAGAGAGCATACTTAAAACAAAACTGTATCCAACGGGTTTCGAGTCTCGAATCTATTTTTAAATAAATCATAGCACGAAAATGGCATATCTAAGAGCAGTTCCACGCCAAATAACGAATCGAAAAAACTTGACCTTCTCCGATCGGCATACAACTTTGCATAATTGTGTATTATCGGCAATCATTCATATACCTATTTTACAAAAGTTAGACCATTTAGGATCCTGTTTTTTTTCTTTTCAAAATAATGTTTTTGTAATTTTTTCAATAAATTGTATCACAAATACTTCACTTCTGATTGAAATGATGTCTGAAGCGCCCATTACACATGTCAATATATTAACAATAAATTGACATACTGACAATATTATTGAAAAGGTGATATTGATGATGATGATTGATGACAAGTATTGACGAAAAGCTGATTTTCATTTCACTTTGTCAATACTCAGAATATATTGACAAAAAAAAAAAACAGTCAATTCTATCAATATCATCAATATACGAATGTTGACAACATCAATGGCAATACGTTTGAAGCCTTTTAACCTCAATGTATTAAAGTCAATATTACTTGTCTTAATTTCCCCACACAAGAAACATGGATCAGCGGGCCAAAAGAGAAACGTCGTTACTGGACCTATGCACTGAAAAAAGTTTTCATGTAGTTTCCATTGGGAACGCACATGATATTTTTCCAATAACAAAATTAATGATTTTTATCTGAAATTCAAATAACGTTCATACGATCACATGAATTGTATATGACAAAACACATAAACTACTTCATTGGACACATAAGGTGCATGTGATTTTGTGATGCGATTCCCAATTATGAGATCACATGAAAGTTAAGTGAAATTCTAATGGATATTTTCCATTGGAAATGTGATTTATTTTTTGAGTGTGGAAAATACTAACTACTCACTGAATTCGGATAACCTGAGTCGGTAAAATTTTACCCGGTTTTTGAACTACTAAAAAGTCGGTAAAATTTCAAATTACCATCACTCGTAAGAAATCAATAAAATCGACACATTATCATTGAACGGTTTTAAATAGGTCCGTACAATTTCGTAATAAATTTCAAAATTGTTGAATTGATTGGTACTAGAAACACTCAGAGGACCAGTACGGTGGACAATTCGCTTCCCGTATGTCACAGTGCGATGAAGATTTAATCCACGGAGAGAACAGCAAATATCACACGCTGGTGAGGAACATCGGGAAGGGCGCGTACGGGTATGTGAAGCTGAGCTGCCGGAACTCGGATAGGTTGCTGGTGATATCGAAGTTCATACTGAAGAAGCTCGTGCTGCTGAGGAGAAGCGGGAAATTCCAATGGAAGTGTACCTGTTGACTAGAAATACTCAGAGGGAGAGATGGGCGGAGAGAATGTTTTGAGCCAAATGAACTGTCAAAATCTGAGCCAATCGAACATTCCTATTAGAGTTTTTCCGAGGATTTCTTATTCTTTCTAGAATAAATTTGAAAGTATTGCAATCGAACAGAAATTCAATCCCCTTTATGTTTTGTGTGCTTCTCAAATTCAACTAGGTTTTGGAACCAAAAACAATACAAAATAATCTTCGTTGGTTAATGAATGGCACCAAGAAATGTGCAAAATATTGCGATGCAATCAATTATTATTTTGCATGTAAATCGAATCAAAAATAAAAGTCATTTGAAATGCTAGCTTCTAGCAAGGGTTGCAAGATAATTTAGGAACAAATCCTTGCTGCCGTATTGTATTTTGTTTTCTCCGCCTATCACACCCTCTGAGTATTTCTAGTTGGTACTATCCTTTCACTCCACTGAAAGTTCCAATTTCATGTCAATGTTTGTTAGAAGAGATGATTTCTCGATGGTTCCGTCAACGCCAATATCAAATGTTGTAACTTTTTGACAGGACACAGAAAATACACAGGACAACATGATAACAAATTAATGAAATTGAATCAAATCGATTGTCGACTGCATCGAATTACCACTCGTGTTGAATAATCCACGTTCATGGTATGCAGTTTCCCATAAATAAACTATTATGCTGATGTTTTGGTAAACATTCCCAAAGGAAAAACTTGCATATATTATTGAATTTGCGTTACGTGTAGGCATGGGAAACGCAGATAGTATTTATTTTATTTTAAAGTAAAAAAAAAACAAAATTACATGATTATGCTTGTGATTTTGTAGAAAATGAACATCGATATAGACGAAGCCTGGGTAGTGATTGGCGACTGTAAAAGGATAGGGGAGAACAGTACATAACGCACCCCCGGGGTAAGACGCACTTTTTCATTTTATTTTGAGTTTTTCTTGGAATTTTAAATCCAGTTCTAGGATTTATCATGCAGGATTTTGAGTTCAGATGCTATGCTAGAAGTGCTGCTTGATAAGACAACAAAAAAGTTACGTAAAAGCCATGAAAAACACAAATGAAAGTCAGCTGGTGCGTTCTGCCCAGGGGGTGCGTTGTAAACCATTCTCCCCTACTTTTTTATTTAGTTTGATAAAATGGATATCAAACTAAATAAAAAATATCACACACGAAGATTTAAACAAAATGCCAACACTGCATGCGTGAAGGTGCATTGTGAGTCAGTCGGTCTAAATGACGTACGTTCTCCCTCCTCTTGGGTAGGGGAAGAATATTGAGAAAGTGAAATGAAAATCAGTTTTCAACAATACTCGTCATCAAACCATCGTCATCAATATTATCTTTCAATAATATTGTCAGTATGTCAATTTATTGTCAATATATTGACCTGTGTAACAAACGCTTTAGTGTATTGTCATTAATGTTGTCAATATTTATATATTGATTATATTGTAAGGAAAATTGACAATACGATGTTTGTCAATATATTGACATATGTAATGGGCGCTTGAGACAAAGTTGTAGAGAAAAATATAGTCTTTCTGGGAAAAATATGCCTGGTTTTTTTTTGTAATGTTGAATAAAAATTAAAAAAAAATTGTTATAAATTTGAATTTTTTTGATTGGGTCATAGGGGCTGTTCATAAACTACGTAGACTCTTTAGGGGGCAGGGGCTGCCAAATATCTACGGTCCATACAAATTTCTAAAACATTGTATGGGCGATTGTCTACGCGGGGATGGGGGTCGTCAAAAACCTCTTAAAATCGGTCTACGCAGATTATGAACAGCCCCATACATCATTGCGACCAACCCATTGATCTTTTGTGATATGTCAGTGTCCTTTGTATAGTGACTGTCGTAGTACTTTCGTCATGACTATGGAACAGTAATGAGGAATTCGTTTTCGATACAGTTCATACTTGCTCTTCTCACAAGAATCCAAATTCAATTGTGATGTTCCGTATCATTTGAAGAGTTCTGGAAGTTTTTGGTCAAAAGTACAAAAGGTCGAAAAAATAAAAGGTCGAAGGGACAAATGGTCGAAGGGACAAATGGTCGAAGGGACAAAAGGTCGAAGGGACAAAAGGTCGAATGGACAAAAGGTCAAAGAGACAAAAGGTTGAAGTGATAAAATGTTGATATGACAAAAGGTCGAAAATACAAACAAAACGCAAAATACTGAATAAAGCAAGCAGACATACCAACATGGTGAGCAATTGTACCGAAATTTTCAGGCAATTTATCACTTTTAAAGTTGATTACTTCTTTACAACATGAGCAGTTCTTTGGAAAATCGAACAATCCAGCTTAAAAAACTCGAATGACTTTTCTTACACTTGGAGATGTCTACACTGAAAATATTTTTTCGTTAATTCTATTATAATCGTTTCGTAAAAATGGGTTTCGTATTTTTTTGTTTAATTATTTATTTGATAAGGCTCAATCGAATTAACTTTACAGAGCCAAGGATTCTTGGTCACTATACAATACATCTTTAAACTATAGTCAAAAGGTACAACATAATAAACACTTTATCTTCCGCTATTCAAAAAGCCTCCTCAATCAGAACGGGAGCCGCTTCCAGGTTTCATTGTATGACAGTATCACCAACGGGGATCAGAGCGCTTCCATTGCAGCAATTGTGGTCAGCACTCACACACTCATCACGAAGCGGTTGCTTTCCAAAGTCGACGACGCATCGACCGAAAGAACTACTGATGAAGAACAATGAGGAGGACCACACAATGGTTGCTGCCGAGAAAAGAGATGATCGCGTGGCATACATCGAGAGTGGCCTGCTTTTGTCGACAACCGAGTGAACACTGAGTTTCGTATATAAAACACACTTTTCGTCAATTGTACGAATCATTCGTATGGCCTACCATCTGACAAAATGCTAATACTACGCCTTATTCGTATAATACATGAACTGAATTTCGTAAACTGCAGCTCTTCTTGTCTTCTAAGGTGTCTGTCCTTATTTTTGTTGTTCATGTTGCTGATGGCGGTGATGGGCTAAGTTTTGTGTGTTGAAAAACTGTTGCTGCTTTTGTGCTCACATTTGTTGTTGCTGCGAGTGATCCTGATGTGAATGCAGGTGGCCAAGAAGGAGCAATACTGCGGCTGAAAATCTCCTAAATAAGAGAACAAAAAAAAAATATTTTTATTATTATTATTATTATATTTGAGAAAAAAATTAAATCCTGACGTCTATAATTATCTTTAAAATCAGTTCATAATTATATTTTGTAGTCCACAATTATATTTTAAATCAAAAACGTGCAAAGTATACATAGTTTATATTACTACAAAGTTTGATTCCGCATGACTAACATAAATTTCCCTTCTTACAGACACCATCCAATCTACTCCCCCGCCGCCAGCACCGGCTCCTCATAGGAAATCCTCCATCGATTGTGACGCGCAGACAACACTGCAGCAGTTGCACAATCAACAACAGGCTACTTCCGATGTCCAGGCGGCTCTCAAAGATATACGAACCTGCCTGCAACGCAACAAAACGCTTGCATCATCTCCCACACAACCCCAACCGGGATGCCTGTCATCTCAACAACAACAACCTCATCAGCAGAAAAACTACGACAAACATTCGATGTTACCATCGGACAAGCTGGACTCTCCAGTTCCGTCCATATCTCCGGTGTGGATACCACGCTCGAGGGATAGCAAGCTGGTAGCCATATCACCCACTACCGTGATCAATTCTTCACCCGGACTGTTGCTACCGACGACACCGACTACGGGTGGACCAACTGAACGGTCGACCAACTTGTCCACTGAGAAGGACTCGCTACTGCATGGAAACAGTGCAAAGAATTTAAGTGCTCTTGACGATGACGAAGATCCGGATACGGACTTGGAGACTGATCGATTGCTAGGTCATCAGAGGTTGGATGACCAGGGCTTCTACGACGACAACAGCAAGAGTTGGACTGACCGAAAGACTCGCTCTTTATTGCACAAATTATCTCCTAAGCAGCAGATAGGTTCCGTAGGAGCCAATGGTGGAACTTCCCTATACGGAAGCAAACCCAACAACCAGGGATCTTTGCTACGGCAAGGTCTCTCGACGTTACTGTCACCGGCCAGTGTGGTAACGGTTGCTCAACCAGCCAGCTCACTACCGGAAATTGTCACATCCAGTAAGGCCTCCCCAGGACTATTGGGCAGTGTACAGAATCAGAACTGTAGTAATATGAATAGTAGTGTGAATAGTGGAAATTTGATCAATCTCAATGGTCCGAACGAGACGAGTCCGGTTTCGCCGGATCACAGCCTTCAGACGTCACCAATCAAAATGGAAAACAAGACCACTGAGAGCGCGAGTCCCGGTGGATCTAACAACTCTAAATCCGACACGGACAAGAAGAAGAAGGGCAAGAATAAGGAAGGTGAGTGTAAGTGCTTGCATTTTTATTAAGTTATATATTCCGAGGTGTAATTCAATGTTTCTCAAACTAATGCTTTCATGGATTTAAAATTAATTATATTTCACTTAACGTAAGTAAAACACTATTTTCAATCGATAAGCAATGAAAATAAAGCTGTTATTTAATTCTGCAGGTCTGCCATAGTCCTTATCGAGGGAGTTCTCTTCCGAGCCAGATACCTGGGGTCTACCCAATTGGTGTGCGAAGGTCAGCCGACCAAATCTACACGAATGATGCAAGCCGAAGAAGCAGTATCTAGAATCAAGGTATGACTTCGGAACAAAATTACTAAAAATAAAAACCTCACACAGTAAACTTTCCACTTTTCCCATCTTTCTATGTCTCTTTCCTGATTGCACATTTTCAACCAACATGTATCGCTATAATCGTTCGTATAGGCCTTGGTAAGTGTACATTGTGCACGTGTGTAATATTAGCGTCCAATTTCAACATGTCAAACTTTTTTTTCCAGTCTCCCGATGGCGAACCACAGCCCAGTACCGAGGTGGATCTTTTCATATCAACGGAAAAAATCATGGTGCTGAACACGGATTTGAAGGAGATTATGATGGATCATGCCCTGCGAACGATCTCGTACATAGCGGATATCGGCGATCTGGTGGTGCTGATGGCTCGAAGACGATTTGTGCCTCAGGATGTTGATTCCGGGGATTCCGGAGGGGGTGGTAATGCAAATGGAACGAACCAGTCCGGTACAAACCAGACCGGCTCGACTCCAACGCAGAAGACTGCCGGTGGACCGAAGGGTAACCGGACACCGAAGATGATTTGCCATGTATTCGAAAGCGAAGAAGCGCAGTTCATAGCTCAATCGATTGGACAAGCATTCCAGGTGGCCTATATGGAGTTCTTGAAGGCAAACGGAATTGAAGATCACAGCTTTATGAAGGAGATGGATTATCAGGAAGTGCTCAACAGTCAGGAAATATTCGGCGACGAGTTGGAGATCTTTGCCAAGAAAGAACTGCAGAAGGAAGTGGTTGTTCCGAAGGCAAAGGGTGAGATATTGGGAGTGGTGATTGTTGAATCCGGCTGGGGTTCTATGCTACCGACGGTAGTGATTGCCAATTTGGCATCGTCCGGCGCCGCTGCCCGGTGCGGTCAGTTGAACATTGGCGATCAGATCATTGCCATCAATGGGCTGAGTTTGGTTGGGTTGCCACTGTCCACTTGTCAGAGTTACATTAAAAATACGAAAAATCAGACTGTGGTCAAATTTACCGTAGTTCCTTGTGCCCCGGTCGTGGAGGTGAAGATCAAACGACCCAACACCAAGTATCAGCTGGGATTTAGCGTGCAAAATGGAGTGGTATGTTGTTGATGAATGTGGTGATGGTGGTGGAGTAGTTAGTAATATAATTCAATATTTTGCAACAGATTTGCAGTTTACTGCGCGGTGGAATTGCCGAACGAGGAGGAGTTCGTGTTGGGCATAGGATCATCGAGATCAACAACCAAAGCGTGGTAGCTGTTCCACATGAAAAAATTGTGAACCTTTTGGCTACTTCCGTTGGGGAGGTAAGTAGCATCGGGATTGAATTCAAAATATGAATATTCACAAGCTCTACAATATTACTCAAACTGCTACAGTAGCTTTGTATAATGAGCGTTCAAAACAGATCGCAACAACTTGTGATCTCCTTTTTGGCGTTCATTTAGTCGAACCAACCTACTTCAAGTTGCTTTTGAATGTGTTCATTCAGCCAAAACACAACCGAATGCGGTATGGTCGAATCAGGTCACACTATTTAGTGCGAGTAAGTTTTAGCAGGTTGAACTCGGTCGAGATTTGGACCTACGACCACGAGGATTTTAGAGAAGATTAAGAGAAATGAATCGACATCTAATTGGCAAAAATAAAAATAAAATGCATTGCATTGAGACATGCAGTTCGGGCTATAGATACTATAGATTTCATAGATAAGCGGAAGCTCAAAAAGTTGCTTTGGCAACCATGACAAATGAATGCTCTTACTGGCATCCGTGAAAAATGTTCATGCCATTCAAGAGCTTTTCGTTTTGCAGTTTTGTTTTGTTCCTGACTTTCCTCAAATATTACAATACTTCCCGAAAAAAAAAAACGCCATGATTGTTTGGCTACACTAACTGACAGTTCGTTTGGCTACATTTTACTTCGCTTCCGCTTATCTATGAAATCCATTGGCGTGCACAGGGTGGGGCAAGGTGGGGGTAGTTGCCCCCCGTTTTAAAAATAAGATTTCTATATCCACATTTACAAAATTATGATTTAAAATAATTTGATATCTGGATAACTTGATTTGAAGCTAAAATAACATGATTTCATTATATAAGGGCACTGAAAACCAATTCCTTTGAAATTGTTCCTGAAAATTGCATGAAAGGTGCATGAAAGGACAAACTTCAATGAAATTTGTTGGTCAAAAAATTGCACCACAGTGGTGCATACAAAACATTTCTGGGGCAATTTTTTGGAGGATTAATTTAAGATTGAAAAATTCACCGCGTGGTACATCGAAGAAAACGCTTTTTATTGAAAATTTCTGGTGTAAAAATATAATCAAGGCGGTGATTGGAAAGACTATTCAAAATGAATAGCTCTAGTGGAAAAATTGAACCACGGAGGTGCACATTTAACTGAAAATTTCTGGTGGAAAGTTCGCAACGCTGTGGTGAATGTAGATGCAAGGTTTATTAATTTTTCTGGTGCATAATTTGCATCGTTCTGATGAATGCAAGCTTCATAGAAAATTTATAGTGGAAAATTTGCACCATTCTGCATGAAGAGACAAAGTTTGAAAATTGCACCATAAAGGTGCACTTCACTGACAATTTTAGGTGCACCATTGTGGTGAATGGAGGAGCAAGGTTTATAGAAAATTTGTGGTGCAAAATTTGTATCGCATTGATAAATGAAATGAACAGAAAGTTTCTGGTGGAAATCTTGCACTGGTCTGGTAAATGAAGACACAAGCTTTATTAAAAATTAAGGTACATTGAAAATTTCTGGTGGAAAATCTGTATTCTTCTGTTGAATAGAGAAACAAACTGTAAATAATTTCTGGTGTAAAATTTGCACCGTTTTGATGATTGGAAGGAATAGCTTACTGAAAATTTATGGTGAAAAACCTGAAAATAGGGGCAAGCTTTAATGCTAATATTTGGTGGAAAACCTGCAACATTTTGATAATAGGAGAAGCAAGCTATATTGAAAATGTCTGGTGGAAAATGAAAAATGGAACCTTCAATGAAAATTAGTGGTGGTAAATTTACACGCTTCTGGTGATGGATGGGGCAAGCTTAATTGCAGAAAATTGGTGTAAATAACTAAGTGTTGGTGAATGGAAGGGCAAGCTGTATTGAAAACATGGGTGGAAAATTTGCACCGTTTTTGTAAATGGAGAATTGTGCAAGCTTTATTGAAAATTTATAGTACAAATTAAGCTCCAAGCTGGTGTATAGGGGAAGGGAAAAGAAACCGTAATGGTTCATCTTCGCCTACGACTTTTTGTGATTTGATTTATTAAAAAATAAATCAATGATGTCTGGAACTCTGTCCATCGCTGGAGTAATTCACCTTCCATAGGTTCATCCCATCCAAGGGTGGTAGCCCACAGGCACTGCATGATCATCTTTGCTTCGACGATCACTGGTGACACTAATCCCAATGGATCAAATAACTTCGCTATTTGGGACAGGATACGCCGCTTCGTTGGTTTGTCTTCGTTATCCGTTGGTTCAGACGACTTGAAGAACAGGACCAGGTCTTTCTTTGGATCCCACAGAAGTCCCAAAGCCTTGATTACTTCATTTGCGCTGGAGTCCTGGATGGGCACTAGGGTCTCTCGATTTCCTTCAGGAATTCCTTCAAGCACATCTTCTGAGTTGGAACACCACTTTCGAATTGGAAATCCTCCTTTCAGCATCAACTCCTCCAAATCGCGACGTAACTTTTTGGTTGACTCAATTGAATCCGAACCAGACAGAATGTCGTCCATATAGGAATCATTCAGGATAACTTCGGCCGCTTCTGGATAATCCTCACTCTCGTCACGGGCTAGCTGGATAAGTGATCTCACAGCGAGAAACGACGCCGCTGATGTACCGTAGGTAACGGTCAATAACTCCAAGATCTTCAGTGCTTCCGACAGGTGTCCTCGCCAGAAGATTCTCTGGTACCGAGTTTGGGAGGGATCAACGAAAATTTGTCGGTACATTTTGGATACGTCTACGGTGAAAAAGTAGGTATGGGTTCGAAAACGTACTACGATGCTGAACAGGTCACTTTGGCTGCTGGTTCCACTGGTAGAGTACGTCATTCAGGGACAGTTCACTCGCTTTGGCTTTTGCGTCAAACACAACACGAGACTTTGTGCTGCTACTGGATGGCTTGAAGACATAGTGATGCGGTAGATAGTACGATTGTAGACCAGTGTTCTTCGAAACGTTCTTCTTCACTCGTCATCATTGCTGGTTCAGCGATTTCCTCTTGGTCGAAAAACCGCTGCAAGCATGATTCCAATCCATCGGTCACAGCAAGGTTGACACATACTGAAGAATCTTCTTGCATTTCCTCCTACGAGCCAGCCACGACCCATCCGAACTGCGTTTCGTACAAGGTAGGTAGGTGATCGGCAAGTTTGATTTGGCCTTGCTTCAGAATGTTGAAGAAATGTTCGGCACTAATCAGCATTTCCACTTCTCGTGGACGGTTGAATGAAGCATCGGCCAACAGTACACTGGATGGAATATGCCAGGAATCCACTCTAACATTTGCCGACGGAATGGTGCCAGTCACCTTCGGTGTGACGAGACAATCTACATTGGCAGTGAAGTTGCTGTAGTTGGATGTCATTCTTACCACCGTTCGATGGCGTATCTGGGAACGCGTACCTCCTACGCCGACTAGAGGAACATTAGCTGGGAATTTCGGCAGGTTTAATTTCTTCACCACAGACTCCGACAACAAATTGATCTGTGATCCAGAATCCAGCAGTAATCAATCGCTGGTTTCCAAATCGTTCTTCCAGGATCTCTCATGCTCGTGCATAATTGTTGTTTTGCAGTGTCTCCAAGTCGATCACACCTGCAGCATCTGCCTTCAGCGAATTTTCCAAATGGTAAAGCTTTACAGCGTCGGAATCGTTTGATCGCTGCATCATGTCCTGAAACATGGCCTTGAAGCGTGGCCATGCTTCATAACGACCGTCGAAGGTTGGTAGAGGAGTACGGTAAGACTGGGTGTGAATGATGACAGGTTGACTTGAAGGCTGGTTCGCTCTTGCTGATGTTGAAGGCACTGACACGGGCAGGGTTGCTCTGTTCTCCATCTCAATCATCTCGATCATCGTCTCTATCATGACCAAGGTTTCATTGTAGAGGGCTTCGAATGCAATATACTTTTCCTCCTGAGCATCGACGTCCTCGTGAATCTCGTTGTATTCTTGATAAATCAGGTTCTTGGAGTAAACCCGCAATAAGGGAAGCGGTAGCCTCTTGTTCGCAGTTTCTGCTGCAGTCAGGGAATTGAAGATCCGTGTGACCTTCGCCTTTACTTGGCCACGCACCTTCAAATCTTCCGAATTTTCCATTTTCCGGGGGTGAGGTGTGAGGTAACATCTCCTCATACGCGAAGGTTTACGGTTACTCGGAAGGAATACTTCACACTTCGCAGGTTTTCTTGGCACGGTTCACGTTCGGACTACAATCGCAACGGTGGAACACACACTCACGAAATATCCGCTCGATTTAGTACGACACGTGGATAACGTTTCTATGGTAACCGTGACGGAAGGGCGAAAAACACTCACGGACGTCGCGACAAGGAATATCAACACGCACTAGGGCGTCGCGACGACGGAATAAAAGCCACGCGAACGCTTTTTCACGTTGTCAAGCCACGCGAACGCTTTTTCACGTTGTCAAGCCACGCAAAACGCTTTTCTCACCTAGCAGCAACACGCCAGTCCAGTATCCGGTTCGAAGGACCAATGTTTTGTATTCGGCCGTGAACACAACGACGATATAGGCGGAACGGTGGACTGGGAGTTACGGACAGCACAAGGTTCACCACCGGGTACCAATTCCAGGGCAGGGTAGGCAGGGATAATCCAAACAATTCACGTACTGCTGCTATTAACTAGTTATTATTTATTCCATTCTTTAATTCTTTGTTTTTCACTGGTTGACTTCCAATTTTATTCTGATCATCCTCGGTTTAGGGGTCCCATATTTATACCAAGTTTGGCTTACTTCGAGAACATTCGAAACAAGCCTGTTACTAACGACGTTGTTACTGTTGCTAACCTAACAACGTTGTTTGCTTGTTGTTCCTAAAGACGTTGCTGACTTGGATCGTTTTAGGAAGTGTTCGTCTCTCACAATATTCATTCTGACAATGGAAAAATTTTCATTGGAGCTAAGAACGAGCTTCATGCTCTATACAAAATATTACACTCAAAGAACGAGGAACAAAATATCGGACATGCGTTGGCCCACGAAGGGATCAAATGGCATCTAATTCCACCCCGCGCACCTAATTTTGGATGACTATGGGAAGCCGCAGTAAAGGTAGCGAAGACTCACATGCTGCACCAAATCGGCAATACATCATTATTGCATGAGGATATCATTACGCTTCTTGCGCAAATAGAAGCTTGCATGAATTCGAGACCCTTGCTGCCAATGACTGAGGAGAGCAGCGACTTAGAGGCTTTAACGCCTGGACATTTTCTGATCGGTTCATCATTACACGCCATTCCTGAACCAGACTTAAGGAATGTAAAACTCAATCGACTTAACATGGCCTCAAATGCGCGTGCCCAGTGAAAAATCAATGGATCGTTATAGCATCAACACACTGGGCACATGTACACTGTAATAAAACAGGATCATAAGTTGATTTAGTTGTACGACTTCAATTCCTTGCGATAACATATAAAATTAAATGAATTTGATTGATTTTCTCATTGCACTGTTTACTAATCTTTTTCATTTCAGATCCTGATGAAAACCATGCCAACGTCCATGTTCCGTCTGCTTACCGGCCAGGAGAATCCGGTCTATATTTAAAAATGCCCGAAAGAGGTCATCGCACTTGGTTCCAGCTTGTGTTTTCTTTTGTGCAACTTAACGTAAACCCGTTCGCTGACTGTAGCTCTCATAATACACATAAGCAAGCACAACAGGAAGAAAATAATAAGAGTTATGAAACAAAACACTATCACTATTTAATCTAATGCAAACACATCTCATCAGAATCACCTTACCAAAACTCTGCTGTGAGAATCTAGATAAACAAGAAATGGAAGTTCTCTGCTAAATAAAAAAAAATGAAATAATTAAGCAAGAGGATAATTGTATCGGAATTTATTCACGCCTTGGCCTTGCAGTTATAATTGAATAATAGAGAAGAATTACTTGACAGTCGAACCATACAAGGAAGAATCGCATTTACTAATTATCATATTGCCGCTGGACAGCAAGCCACCTCAGCTACACTGCAATAGAGGTATTCAGAATAAGAAAAAGGGAACGTCACAGCTTTTTGTATTGATATCACACACAAAATACACACTCGTATGTGGAATAAGCGATAAGATAGCTTAACAAACAGTAACGCGATGTAACGCTAACCAAAGAGGATGATAAAGACGAAGCAGACAGGACAAATTGAAAACATGAGGAAAGCAAATGTTGAAAATGAAATATATTTTTTGAAATTGTTTAACAATAAGCTTAACTTAGCTAAACACGAGAGGATGCGGTGAGTCTTGATTATGGTATAAAATGAAGCATTTGGAGAAAATTTGGAAACACTGAAATCTCAAACACCTGAACGATTTGTCCATCATTTATTGACTTACTAATATTCTTACAAAAGGAAGTATAAGGTGTGCCGGCTCATTGGCATTGGTTTGGAAAGTGTACGTATCATTGCCGTATGGAGAGGATAATTGGCAACAGAGGTTCTAATCTAGAAAGCAGCTGCTTAGTGGCACCCGTGTTAACCAGTTCTGATCTTTAAGTATTAAACAGACTCATTCGCTGTACTCGGTATTCTCTATCCAGAGGTCACAGAGACTTCATTATATTTGTACCGGTTCCTTATTTTCCTACTAGCGTGGACGAACAAAAATAAATAGCTGAGATGTAGACTTGCAAAGAGCTAACAGTGCAAGTAGAGTCCGTGTGAATATTGTCTTTATGCCGTTACAAGATGAACAGCTTTTTTATATATAGTTTATACATATATGTACATGTAGATAGGTTTTGCTGAATCCGGATAGTAAACACAAATGAGATTGGGCCGTCCCTTGACAAAAAATAGAGCAACAAAAATATAAGAGCCATCTTTTTCTTATTGTAGGAATCGAGCTAGAATCAAAAGAAGAGGTATTATTTCCACCCAAACACTGCTGAATTTCCGTATAGTATACAATTCTTGCTTCGACGTAAACATATCACCATGTTCCGTTCCGAGTCTGATTTGTTCTTCGAAGCTGATTTAACCTACTGATAATTTGAGCACATCAGTTTGCCAACAGGATAAAGCGTAATACCGTGAATTGAGAAAAAAGCTGTCTAGAAGCGAAACAATAAATCCCACTAGCTTTGCCTAACCATAAACCAAATATACATGACTGTTGTTCGTGCTTACATATATCGCTGACAAATTGACGCTTGACTTTCATTTCCACGCATACATGTGATCGTAAAAGTGTACCTTTTTTCGGTCATCCATTTACCGTCTAAATGTCCTACCCTTAAGTGTTTTGATTTATTCTGGAATAAGATAAGGAAGTAAATAAAACAAAATTGAACAAGGCAGTGAAAAGCTAAAACAATCGGAACAAAAAGTTTACGCAAGCTTAAGACGAAAGAAATGATACTTTTGTAATTGAAATTATTAATAACAAAAAAAAAATGTCATAAGTAATTATTAACAAACATGCAAAAGTCGTCCCTCACTTAGGAGAAAAAGAAAATCAATACAAAAATCCCTAACAAAAAATGCACTTTTTATGCGCCACTCACCCGCCCGCCATAGGATCAATGAAAAAACAAAAATAATACTCTAAAAATAGTCTATGAAAGTCATAGTTTATCAATTATTTAACCGGTAACGAAAAAAAAAGGAAAAACAGAAACAAAATAAACGTAAACAAATAAACCTAGTCTGCTAAATTAAAACAAACAAAATATTTACAAGTACCCTTGAGATTCGTTAGGAAGAAGATGATTGGAAGAAACAAAAAAAAAAATACATGGTTAAACTGCAGCAAAACATCTATAACTGTGTCTGAATTTAGGATCGACAACATAAAACCAAAACAAGGGTCGAGAAACGACAACAACAACAACAACCGCTAAATATATTGCAGTTGGTGGTGGTACCGTAAGCTATGTGTAGACAAGGTATAATGGAAATGGATCACGCAAAATAGTTGCAAGCGAAGGTCACATACATGATTGTGAACACGGAAGGACGTAGGAAACAAACTTGCTGGCATGGAAAAGAAAGAAACAATGAAAAACAAGAACAACTCTAATGTAATTATGGCTAAACAAACTAAACAACACCTATAATGGGAAATGTATATTTATTCTAACAAAGAAAAACAAATATATAAAAATTTTGTGATGTAACATTCTCAAATTGTAGTTTCATTACGCTAATAGGATCATTTTGAGTTGAACTTTTTCCCGATTTTCTACGGCGTAAAGCATCATTGTGCTTGGAATATGGTCGAGTGATTGCTTTCGGTATGCGAAATAAAGTAATACATTTCACTAGATTTTTACGCCACATTTTTCACTATTTATGGATTCAATTCCCTTGATAGGTCTACTTGTTTTTAGTTTATGAGCTGCTTGGCCTCCGCTTCTTCTCCGCATGGTGTACAATTCCAATTTTGTAAAAAATAATACACATCATTCCAAAGCTTCAAAACAGACGGTTGCTGTTTTATGAGCACCGTTTGCTTGCTTTTCACTGTTTACACATTTAAACCATTTACACCATTACACCAATAACATTATACACACACTCATACATTTTGAATCCATCCGAATAATGGAAAATTAATCCATCACTGTTGTTACTTAATGCACAAAGCACAGAGATCTGCGATTTGAACTTAATGAAAATCACTTACTTCTCCGAAATCCGGTAAGTTACTTCCATCTCATCAGCATTCACAGCCAACGAATTGACGAAATTAGCAATTTCGCCCAAAGTCGGTCTAGCATTTCCATTTTTGAAATCAAAACCATAGCATTTCCATTTTTGAAATCAAAACCAAAGGGTGGTCACTGTACACACTTATTTTGCACCAACTTTTTTTCTCAGTGTGCCTCAGTGTGCTTCAGTGTGCCGCAGCTGTGCTGGCAGTGCCGGTATTTTAACAGCTCTTGTTATTTGTTGACGGAAAAATTCGACAGTTGCAGATGTCCAGATGTTGGATGTCACTCAAGACTCAGGAGGGTACAGGAGCTGATTAATGACAGTATGAGTTACATTCGAGGAATTACTTGCCATTGAAATTATTTTTCACATTTTCAGCAACCGAACATTCACGAGTACTACAAACCACGGCACCAAATAGAGACGGCCTTTTCTGGGGCCTCCCGTCACATTTAGTTTGAAATATAACGCAGCTGCAAGGAGCTGCGCATCGTCCAGGAGGACATTGTCGATTTTCGATTTCTCAATTAGATCCTTCAAATATGGCAAGGAGACCATATATGTCTGGAAGGCCCGGTTGAAGGAAGAAATACATCCCTGTTAGAGGTTTTCTTCACGCTTATTCTGGTCATCTCAAAATTGAGTCGAATGTACTCATCTCAGTGGCAAGTAGGGCTACTAAAAATTGAGTAGCCTTATGTTGACTCACTTTTGAGTAAACGACGTTCTCACGTAGACTGAGTCAAATCCACTTGGTGGTATTTTTAGTTGCGGGGAGGGTTTTTGTTTTGTTTTTTATTCAAGGAAATGGAAATTGCCTGCTCCGGATTCATTCTACCGTAGCAGAAAATGGTTCAACACCGTTTCCCTAAGCAATTCGTACTTACCTGAAGGCATTTCAAGCGGTTTTGAGTAACATTTCCTATGAGGTTTCCTGCGACATGACTGACATTTTTCCAAGTCCAGAATTTTGCAGTGGCTTTTACTCAGTTTGACATTTCTCGTGCACTCAATTTTTGACATCTCGATACGTCGGACGAAAGTGAGTACGATCGAGTGAGTAAGCAGAAGTTAGCGTGTTGGCTAATTTCACATGCACCATTGCACTTGGTGGAAATTTGGGTACGTTGCTCAGACCCCGTAGCTGCAGAGGGGAACGATCCGGGAGAATATCCTATGGGGAGAAATGTATGACGATCCCAGATAGCTTTATTGCCATCGTTTCCGAATACATCACTCGTTCGGTGGCCGAATCTTATGATAACGAGGACCACTACTGCATGTACTCGAATGTGTGGTTCGTGATGGGACTGCCCAGCCTCGGGACGGGAATTCACTTCGATCCGCTGGGCACCAGCGCTTAGAATTCTCTGGAGAGTGGTCACAGAGAGACGAAGTAATCTCGTGGTTCAACCTTATATACCGCTGGAAATGGTGCAAAAACTGGTGGATGGTGAAACTGTTTTCATTCTGAAATTTTGACACATGAACACTGCCACACTGAACACAGTGTTACCAGTAACGTTAAAGATCAGAAAAAATGTACCCATGGGTGCCAAACAGTGCCAATTATTGTGCCCAGGTGTGCCCAAACTAGTTTTTGAAACACTATGCGGAGTGACCAACCCCTTGGTCAAAACAAAAGAAACGATGTTCTTGACCAATTCAAGGCATCATCAAATTTGATATGCTTCCAACACAATAGCCTCTACCAGCTATATGAACACGTGATTCACACCGAGAAAACAACTACTGTTTTTTTTTTGTATTGACCACAGTTAAAACAGACATTCAATATTTTGTAAAGACTTTTGACGACACGTGATGGTGTTTGCGAATCAAGGAGAGGTTCTCATTCAAATGTCCAAAAAGTGAGCAAAGTTTGGCATTAGGAGACATACACACTAAGATTTTGGTTCCGTGTTCGGTAAATTTTACCGAAATCAGAACAGCTGAATGTTCGGTAAAACTTTGACCTTCATTTTAAAGGCTATTGAATTTGAAAATAAGTTTTTAAAACATGTTCAACCTTGTTTAAATGATCAAATCTAGTCATTTTAGTGGAGATTTAGTTTCAAAGTAGCTGAAAAGCATTTGAACTGAATTGCATAAATTTTTCCGAACAGTTCAGCTGTTCAGATTTCGGTAAAAATTACCGAAGTCGGCGATAATTTCTAAATGTGTAGAAGGACGCGGTTTTGAAATTCGTCTTTAATTTTTACAAGGAAAAAAAAAACAAAATGGCGCCCGTGGTCACGTTTTTGGAATTGTCAAACTGCGTACAGCCTGGTACCAACAATCAATACGAAACTAACGATTTTAAATTGGCTCACTACTTGACTAGCCTATTGGTCCCAAGCAAATCGACTAACGTACCCCATGCCCCGTAACGTGGGTAGATCACCTTATCGTGGTACGTTACGATCCACCACCGATTCCTAGTCTTGTCTACTTCAGACTAGAGGAACAGGATTTTTCAGTAATCAAAGGAACACATCTTAGTCCTTGTTACTTTTTATGCCTTGTTGATAGTGACAAGTAAACGGCGCCGGTGGTGTAGTGGTAAGCGTGATTACCTCTCACCCCAGCAGGCCTGGGTTCAATCCCAGTCGGCGCCGCCGGGATGTTCTGAGGCATAACATCTCTGATCACGCCTTCCTTCGGATGGGAAGTAAAGCCGTTGGTCCCCGGTTCATGAGTTGATGGGTCGATAGGTAGGGTCCAGGTGTGGGAGCTGCCTTCCTGGCACGTTGGTAGCATTGGTGCTTGTCGTGACCGGACCGAGGTTTCCAGCCTTGGTCACGGCTACACGAATTAGCGATGCAGCTCCCACGGGTCATTTGTTTATGCTGCTGCTGCTGTTTCTGTTGCTGCTTTTTCTTTTGCTGCTGTTTTTGCTGCTGCTGCTGTTTCTGTTGCTGCTGTTTCTGCTGCTGGTGGTGGTCCGCCACCTCCAAAATTTCTTTTGCTGCTGTTTCTGTTGCAGCTGTTTCTGTTGCTGCTGTTTCTGTTGCTGCTGTTTCTGCTGCTGGTGGTGGTCCGTCACCTCCAAAATTCGTTACAAGAATGACTTCAACGAGTTTAGTTAGTTTAAATGATCTTTATTTTAGTTTAACTTGGACGATTACCATATAAATTTTTACTAAGTGATTTAATTGCTTTCTTCATCTTTAGGTATGGGCAAAATTTAAAATTTGTTTTACAGGATTAGTCCTAGACTTAGTACACGGTCGACCACCTTGGTGGGATTGGTTTGTTTTGTTTTTAGAATTTGAAGAGAAACTACTTAATACTACTATTTACAGCTTAAAACTAACCTACTCTACTATATACACTTAACCTACTATGTACAAATTGCTTATTAAAGCATGTTCAGAAAGATTGCATTTTTGAATAAATTTAGTTGTCATATCATCAATTTTGGAATCTACTTTGGGAATTTCTGCCTCTTGATGGAGGTCTGCTATTCTTGTGTCGAATGGACGATCTAGGATCATCCTCAACACTCTATTCTGTGCAACCTGGATTTTGTTCCTGTGGGTCTGAGCGCACGATTCCCACACTGGGGCGGCATAGAAGATCGCGGGGGCTATGATCTGTTTGTAAACAGCCAGTTTGTTTTGCCTTGAGAGGCGGGATCTGCGGCAAATGAGCGGATACAAACACCTAACCAAGGCGGAGCACTTAACTAGGGTTTTCTCTATGTGCGAGCGGAACAGGAGCTTCTCATCGAACAACATCCCGAGATAAGTAACATCAGTGGACCACTCGACCCTTGTACCATCCATTATTACGGTACAGGAGGGAGACGGTTTAAGTTTTAATGATTGTCTGTGAAGGAACATGATCGCTTGGGTTTTCGAGGCGTTGATTTTGATTTTCCACGTGGTGGCATAATCAGTAAAGGTGTCAAGGCATCGTTGGAGCTTGTTCGTAATTTCACGAGGCATCCTACCCTTGACGGCTATCGCGGTGTCATCTGCAAACAGAAAGAACACGCAACCGTCTCCTAGAGGAGGGATGTCCGACGTGTAGATGCTGTAAAGCAGTGGTCCCAGCAGACTCCCTTGCGGAACACCTGCTGGGATCGGAAATTGTCCCGAAAGGGAACTATTCAACGACACCCTGAACGACCTTTGCTGGAGATAGTTACGGGTGATTTTCACAAGGTATGGTGGAAAGTTGGAGTTACAAAGCTTGTATGTAAGTCCGTCGTGCCAGACATTGTCAAACGCCTTTTCGACGTCTAACAAGGCCATGGCTGTGGACTTGGATACAGCTTTGTTACTCCGGATGTTATTCATCACCCGCACTAGCTGATGATTGGTGGAATGCCCCTTACGGAACCCGAACTGTTCCGGAAGAAGAATGTCATGTTCCTCCACAAACTTGTTTAGTCGGCTGAGGATCAATTTTTCGAACAGCTTGCTCAGCGCTGAGAGCAGG